CCGGTCGGTACTAGTTCGGGGCGTGACACAACAGCTTCAGTATATGTGGCTGGCTCAAGAGAAATCTCCACCTGTTCAGCACAACTAAAAGCATAATAAACCATATCACATTCCTCAATAAGGCAGACTGGAGCTCCACAACTCCTCTTTGTTCTGCGATGTGCAATAGGTTCATCTTGTGGCTGCAAAACAAGAGGTGAGTGCTGAATAATATCATTAACATCATTACCAACAATTTCAGTTTCCTGATCATCCACGTGCTCCACCTGCACGCTAACATATTGCTGCTCCTCATCAGAACCACCTGGTATGATATCTGTGGGCAAGCTATCATTAAACATAACAGATTCATTGAAAACAACACTCCTGCTCATGAAGGTCTTATTAGTTTCAGGATTCCATAATTTATATCCTTTTACTCCTGAACCATAACCAAGAAACAGACACTTAATAGCTCTAGGCTCTAATTTTCCATTATCAACGTGAGCATAAGCAGTACATCCAAAAACTCTCAATTGTGAATAATCAGCAGGCATACCAGACCATACCTCAATGGGAGTTTTCTTATTAAGTGGGATAGAAGGCGACCTGTTGATCAAGTAGCAGGCGGTGTTAGCAGCCTCTGCCCAAAAACGCTTGTTCATGCGAGCGTTGGACAGCATACAATGAGCCTTGGAGATGATGGTTCTGTTCATGCGCTCAGCCACACCATTCTGCTGTGGAGTGTACGGGATGGTGTGATGCCTAACGATGCCTTCCTTCCTGCAATAATCATCAAAAGCATCCGAACAGAATTCACCACCATTGTCAGTGCGAAGTACTTTTACCTCCTTTTCAGTTTGCCTTTCTATCATGACTTTCCACTCTTTAAAAGCAGCAAATGTATCATCTTTATGTTTCAGGAAATAAGGCCACACTTTTCTAGAGTAATCATCAATAATGGTAAGCATATAACGAGCACCACCAAGAGAGGGCTTACGAGAAGGCCCCCACAAATCAGCATGTACATAATCAAGTATACCTTTAGTGCGATGAACTGAGGTATTGAATTTTACCCTCTTGTGCTTACCAAAAACACAGTGCTCACAGAACTTCATGTTACCCTGAGTGCAGCCATCCAACAGGTTCCTCTTCATCAATTCTGCTATACCACGTTCACTCATATGTCCAAGACGCATATGCCACAGGTTAGTCTTACTAGGTTCATCTTTAGAAACAGCAGCAGCGGTAACAGAACCATGTAATGTACTTCCTCTAAGGACATATAAGTTTACAGAATTCATATCACCAATCATATAAACGAGAGAACCTTTCGATACCTTTACAACTCCACCTGAACCGGAGTATTTGTATCCTTCTACATCAAGTGTGCTGAGAGAGATGAGATTTCTTGCCATCCCTGGTATGTGTCTCACATCTTTCAGCGTGCGTGTCATGCCATCATGTGTCTTGATCTGTAAGGAGCCAATGCCCACAATCTCACGTGGGTTATCATCTCCCATGCGCACAACATCTCCATTCTGCACAGACTTGTAAGAACTAAACCAATCTCTGTTAATGCAGATATGAAACGAATATGCAGTATCAAGAATCCATTCATCATGACTAGCAACACAACCAGCAAAAACGACAAGACAATCTCCTGAATCAGAGTATTCAGCACTAGTAACAACAGAGGCCTTACCATCAGATTTCCTTTTCTCCTTATCCTGCACCTTCCAACATTCTTCAATGAAGTGATTTTTCTTTTTGCAATACTTACAGAACTTTTTACCTCTGGACTTGGAACGGCCTCTACTCTGGCTCTTGTCACGATCATTGCTGTCGTTGTAGGTTTTCTGCTCAAATCTGCCTCTGACCTGCAATGCTTCGCCCTTAGAGGACGACGCATCAGACTGAACCATATCTTTCATCTTTTCCCTGTTTTGGAGCGCCTCATAAACTTCCGCTAGGGTTAGTTCATCACGGCTTAAAAGTATGGTGTCACGAAAATTTGCATATGAACTAGGCAGTGAGTATAACAGTAAAAGACCTAAATCTTCATCATCAAACTGTACCTCTATCGACACTAGGTCGGCAACGATCTCCTTGAAGACCGATATGTGGTTCAACACAGAACCACTCTCCTACAACTTGTGCGAGAACAACTTCATCTTGATATGCATCTTACTGGTTAGATCTTTAGACATGCAGATCGATTCCAGTTTGAGCCAAAGTTCTGCAGCAATCTTTTCCTGCAACACTTCTTGCAAAATATCATTAGATAGATGAAGTTGGATCAGCGATAGAGCCTTACGATCTTTCCGCTTCTCCTCAGCGGTCCATTCAGTCGATTTCTTCTTCCCGAAGCTTTCTAGCGCCTCATCAAGATCCGAAGTTTGCGCCAGAACAACCCGCATCTTGACTTGCCACAGCAAGAATCTCGTCTTGTAGTCTAGCAGCGGTAGATCATACTTCATCGACGCCATCGCGAAACCCTAATGTGGGAACAAGCTCTGATACCACTTGTTGTGAAACGATAAGCGAACAAATGATAAAGAACAATAGATCAATCACAGAAGACACGAGATTTAACGTGGAAAACCCTCCCAAAACAGGAGAGAGAAAAAACCACGAGCGTCAGCCAGCAAAATATCTTCACTATATCTGAGGTGAGATTACATCGCCGCACGGCGGCATACAAGAGGCATATATATGGTGGAACCCTAAAAGAGATGACGATAGCCTTTATTAAATGCAAATGAATTTGGATCACAACTCAACATGCTCGATAGTCTACACCACGGCTTCCTCGCGAGTTGCAACCTCGCGGATTGGTGGCGGATCGGTGGCAAGCTTTGGTGGCAACTCGTGGCGGCGCAGTGATTTCTTCGATGAGGATCCATGGTGGTGGCGGCAGCTGGCTGGCATCCTTGGCGAGGAGTCGAACACGGCAGAGACACAGCAAGCCTATGCTGGGCTGCCCCTGCTCCATATGTTCTGGGCCGTGCTTGTGCTGGCCCGGCATGAACAGGCCCATCGGGCAAATGGGCCATGCCGGCACGGCCCAAGTCCCAGCTCTCGACTGAAAAAGGAAACGGTCTGTCATTGTCCCTAGTCACTGACACCTCCCTCCATCCCTAGTCACTTCAACGGATTTTCAGCCACCACGGACAATGCGATTTAGGTAATTTTCCAACCAAGCTAAAAACATTATCCTCGCTTCATTCACATTCAGCGGACCGTCTAGTGACCATCGGACTTCTAATCAGTAGACTTATGTTATAAAAGATATAGCGGAACGATGACTAACCTTCTTAATTATTTTAAACATTAATCATCCAACACATATTAGATGATGACACAGAAACACACTGTTGAAGATATATATGTGATAGCTTCGCTCTATTTATATACATTAGAGAAAAAATAGTTGTATTCAGTTTACGTTGCTTGATTCTTCTTCCCTCTACATCATATCTTCAAAAAAATTCACTTATTAAGAAAAACAGTCGTCATCCATTAATGATTTGATATGTCTTCACCTTGGCAAAGCAGAAGCCCTATAGCGTCATGAACTCATGATCATTTTAGGTACCTTAGGTACGACACTCTTTGTCACGCGTGTGGATTTTCGCACATGTGCGTTGTGTAGAGGGGCGGAGAAACATCTTCCGAGTCTTCGTTTTTTTTAACAAAAGATAGATTTGATGGTCTAAATAATAGGTCCACCTATTTTAGTGAAAATATGTGTACAAATATTTTTACATAAAAATCTAAAATAATGGGTACATTATATAGTATAAGATAATGATGTAAACTATATTTTATATATTAGAAACTAATTTATTTACTTCTATTTCTATTTTTAAAGAGTTATATGTTGATAATTCAATATTTGCAAAGTAACTATTATTTAAAAATTATTATCACTAAAAGTAATGATAATTGTCGTCTCAACTATATACATGGAAAAATAAAAATTAAAGATGTTTTTACCGGTACTTTGGTACGTCATCCGTGTACGAGTCAGTTTTTAAGTTCGTTCGCTTTTGAAAATCCATATCCGTATTTGAGTCGGTTTTTAAGTTCATTCGTTTTTGAAAATACAGTAAGAGTCGTATAAGAAATTCTTTTAAAAAAACTCGCATGCTAACTTGAGACGATCAGACTCATAACTGCTCATAATTTTCTAAAAAAAATATATCCAACGGTTTATATATTGGACCCACCGATTTAAATGAAAATTTAGGGATAGATGTTTTGTTTTTTTCTCTGATTTTCTACTATTTTCTCTAATTACTAGATTGTCACATGGCGACTTAAAAGCGTTTTGAGAAATTTTAATGGACTTTTAGTATATAATAGATAAGATTGTTCTCCAAATATAGCCTACCATTTGCTTATAGTTTTAACTGCGCCATTATTATTATTAGTAGTTCCTTTGGAATGCTGGATTTCAAAAACATAGGAATAGGCCGAAAAATGCATGATTGGAATGCCATGTGTTAAAACTTTTAAGAATTTAATACACAAAAATTTGAATGTGTTGAGCTATATAGGATTGCAATTAATTCAAAGGAATTTGCTCACCTCCAAGACTATGTTCCAGACATGCAAATTAGAGCTATATAGGATTGCAATTAATTCAAAGGAATTTGCTCACCTCCAAGACTATGTTCCAGACATGCAAATTAGAAAAAATTCCTAAGGATTTGATTCCTTCAAAATTCCTATGAAAATCCTTCAATCAAAAGGAGCCCAAAGATTAGGATTATGCACCAGACGAGTAACGGAGCAGGGTACAAATTAATCCGTTAGAGATTCATAATGCGAGACCCTTTAATTACTAAAATCCATGAAAACCGACGATACATAATTTGCAAATCAAAATATGAATCCCATGCAAACCGATCGAATAGTAAGCTGATATCCAACAAGCTCAAAAACAAGCAGGCCTCAAAGAAAGGAAAACGAAAACACAGTGAGGGAGCTCGCGCAACGATGCCGCGCGCGTTGGATTATAGAAAAACCCCAAGTATATTAGGCATGCGATCAATGCAACAAGCACTATTAACCGGCCAACCACACACACATGACAACACTCTCACAGACAAACATACACATTCCACACAAGCATAAGACAAGAACATACAGTTGTCATACAGCTAGGCTATCCCTGTAGCAGTTCTAGCCATTTTATGCTATTAATTTTCTATATCAAACGCAAGCTAGGAGTAGGAGGCACACATATTACGTACGTTATGTCCTTTGTTGCAGTGCCTGCAAATCTTGGCAGTAAAACAGTAGCAAACTTATTAGCAGTTAGCCGGCATGGTGAGGCCACACTTGGCTGGCAGCTGCATGGCGCGGTTGGGGTCGATGTTGTAGATGCTGAGCCACGGCGAGTTCTTGTAGGAGCAGAGGCAGTTAAGGTCGGCGTGCGACAGCGCCGAGCAGCAGCCCGCCGACGGGTTCGTCGTCGGGTTCGACGTCGCCGCCGCCGCCGGCTGGCACTTCATGAACTCGTCGTTGCTCATGTTGCACACGGCGCGGGCCGGCGCCGGCGCCACGGCCAGCAGCGCCGCCGCGACGGCCACCACGAGGACAGCCAGCGCCACCGCCTTCGCCATTGCCGTCGGCTGCTGGAGAGGTGAGGAGCTGGATCGAGCTAGCTAGTGACTATAGGTGATTGGTACCTGGTGGAGCTAGCTAGCTGGTGGCTATCTCTAGTGAGTATGAAATGGCTGGATGCTTTGTCCGTGACCGGGGGATGGGTTTTTATAGGGGCGTGTTCGGATGGGAGATTTTGGGTTGAAACCTGGAAAGTCTGTGGTTTTTCACAATGGGTCCTTCGGTTGGGTTTCAGTTGCAACTATCTTATTACGGGATCGAACTGTGCCCTACAGTTTGCAAATTATTGGTTCTTGGGAGAAGTCAACAAGGTGATGGATTATATTTGGCATGCTAAACAGTTTTGTCGCCAGCCTTGGCGAGGACAAATATAGCAATCAGCACTCGTTCATATTTGGGCAGGGTTTTTTTTTTTTTCTGATGCAGTAGTCCCTCTGTTCCATATTAACTACCTCCATTTCATATTATAAGATTTTCTAACATTATCTACATTCATATATATGTTAATGAATCTGGACATATATGTGTGCCTAGATTCATTAACATCTATATGAATATGGGCAATGCTAGAAAGTCTTATAGTAGTATTAATTTCTATATTATAAATTGTTTTGTACTATATTTTATCAAGTTCAAGTTTCTTTAATTCAGACCTAGTAGTTAAGAAGAACGTAGCAACGTTTACAACACTTAGTTATATTCATTACAATTGAAAATTGTGATGGATCATCTTAAGCTGAACATTGAATATCTATGACCAGATAATTTTTTTAAAAAAAAAACCTCAATTAATTTGATGCCAGCATGTACGCATGGTTAGTTAAATAACTACTCTCTCCGTTTAAAAAAAAACAGCAACCTAATAATACATTATACACAACTAAATACTACCAATCTGGACCGTGAGCAACATGCAATATCAGGAGAACTCATGCGCTGAAATGCGCTAGCTCTATATATCCGTCCAATTGATCTGCAGTTTAATTAGCTGGAATAGATGCAGAGAAGTATATAGGGGAGGCAAGGTTGGGCAGCCCGTGAAGATCCCTTGTTGGGTAGCGCTAGCAGCAGGCACGCATACAGCAGCGCGCGATCATATCGTCGTCGCTGCGTACATGTCAGCGCGGCGCGCGCGGTAGATCGCTCGATCGATCATCCCGGTCCCGGCCAACAAACACACACGCCAGCAGGTTCACGGGCGCGCGCGACGACGACGCGACGAGAGACGAACGCGCGCGACCAAACTCCGGCCGGGCCCCGCGCGCGCCTACCGGAGAACTTGTGGCCGGGAGGGTTTCCCGGGATTCACTGACGCGCGTGTGTGCTGCTCCATCCATGGATAGCACCGCAGCTATAGCCGGTACGTATAGTAGCTACCCCGGGGCCGGCAGGCCGGCCTATCGGAGACTGATCATCGAGATCGATTCCTAATCCTATGGCGAATTGGCGATGCATGGATATCATATTTCTCCCAGATAGGACGATGTTTACCTAGCTAGATCCATGACAGTATGACACTAATTTGTTGATATATATGGAATGAGCCCTCCTCGTGCTTGGAGTCGTACATATGGTCCTGTTTACGCCAAATTCAACTTGCTGTTGTATATACATACTACTTCATACATTATATAATAATATAATAATCTTTCGCTATAAATGTAAACAAGTGTTTATTTAGATTTATAACATGCTATGCTATATTTTTAAAATGAATGGTGTAGTCATCTTTCTGTTATTGAGGATGTACCATGAGCATGTCCTTTTCTTTTTTACCCTGTTCGTTTTTTTAGTACTCCCTCCATCCCTAATATAAGACGCGGTCAAAATTGGCACGGTCTCCAAAACTAATCTTTTACTTATAATTTCTCATATACTATAAGTTTTGTAGCAGTTCTTGAGGGGAGGAGATACCATATCGTAGCTGTCCATTCCAATCAATCCAATGGCCTGGGAAGGCTCGGTACCTGCTGGTACCACATCGTCTGCAAGAGTAGGTACCAAATGCTGTTGATGGTGGGAGGGCAAGGTTGTACTTTCGCATGAAGTTAGCAAGTTAGAGCAAAGTGTTGTCTATCCACCTCCTCAAATCGAGTGAAAGCTGTAGGGGTAAGGAAAACACGGCGACGATCTTGATGCGGCCGATGCGGTGGCCTCCCGGGCGGCGATGACCTCGAGGGAGGTGGGCCGGTGGGGAACGCTGACAACTTTGGTGTTCCCTCCCTCCTCCTAGTTCGCCTCCTCTCAGCTCTCTCTCTCTCTCTCTCTCTCTCTCGCAGGCCGTCTTCCCTTCCACTGTCTCTCACGCTCTCACGCACGCAGTCTCCACTTCAGCGCTTCTCCAGGTTCTCCCCTACATCGCTAATACGCTGCTGCAGCCGCAGTTCAGACCGAGCTGAGCCATGTCGCCTCCTTTTACTCTCTGGAAACCTCCAAAGTCAGCCATCTACCATTGCCGTGGCAGTTGTCCAGTTATGCAGTGAAGAGGAGGGGGACGTGGCTCAGCATCCATCAGTTACAAAGCCAATTAAGTCCAGCAGCAGCAGCGAGCTCAGTGCCATCTCCCATTTGGGGTCTTATGCTTATTAGCTTCATCATAAAACAGTTAGTCTATTAAGCAAAAGTTTATCTAATCAGTACCTTAATAATATGTACCAAAAAGTATAGATAATTGAAACATATTATTTTGTCAAGAACTCCAGATGTTGGGTTTCTCCCATCCAGATTTTTCAACAAAGATGAATTTGTTAGGTTGTGCAGCAGCTATTTGCATAATCGCATAGATCAGGTTAGCTTTTGCTCAAATACTGACCAAAGCGTATGAACCTTTTCACATTAAGGATTTGTAAGATCTTGTACCATCTCACATCCTTTTCTTTTTCGCTATAACTGAAATGTTGGACCCTAATGTCAGACTTGTCTTCCTCCTTATGCTTATCACCATTGAAGACGTACAAGACTAGGTGCCCAAACGTCCAAACATTATCACCACAATGAAGGATCCATAAACTTTCCTTTTTCCTCCCCGACTTCATGCGAGCCCTCCTTTACATTTTTTTACTTACTATTTCTTTTCTTCATCCTTTTCCATTCCACTAGCCTAATCGTCGGCAAGCTCTAATCATCGTTGTCTCTCCTACTCTCCTATTCGCCGCCACCAGATTATCCCCTTAGAGATGTAGGCGACACTTGAACCTACCGCGTGCGCGCCGCGCGCCTGCTCTCATCCATTCCCGTCCTGACGAGGCCCCAAAGCTGGATCGCAGCTTTGTTTGCAGCCATGGCGTGAGCGGTGTGCTTCAGCGCTTCAGGCATCGGCACTTGGCAGGGTGGAGCGGAGCCACGGACTGGGACGGAATTGTTTGGGACGGCTGGACAGCACGATGCGGAGGTAGAAGAAGATGGAGGCGATGTCAGGTGTAGGAGCGGAGGGGTAGAAACACGCTATTCCAATCATACCCTTTTTGAATCGATGGATAGATGGAGTCGATACCTAGCAGTACCTAGTACCTGGTGGTACCTTTTTAAGGATAGTAAAAATCCTCTAATTAAAAAGCCCAGCATATATCCTCCTTCAAATTAAACGTACAAATCATCGCAACTCCAAACATTTTCAGATGGCACGAGGCTCTTTTTTTAATGTAGGTGAAAATTTACTGCCTTAGCACTGGCTAGGAATACATGTAGGCTGGGTTAAACTCCATTATCTGATAGTGTGGACTGTGGAGTGCTACATTTGTCTGTTGACTGACGTTTAGAAGTATGCACCTCGCTCCAGCCCCCACTAGCCCAGACCCTTGCGCGCATCCTGAAGCAAGCATCAGAAACGGTTCTGGGAATCAACTGACAGAACCACTATTTGTCAGTCAACTGACAAATAGCAAAACCATATCTAATAAAGCTAGGAATACACGGCCCAAAATAAAAGGTGAAAACAGACGATTAACAAAAAAAGAAGTAAAAGCTTGAGCAAAGAAGATGTTAGGCATAAGGAATACACAGGGTGTGTTTGATTGTTCGCGTCTCTAACCTGATCTAACTCTCTCGTCCAAGTTTAACCTGAATTAATTAGGAGATACACATACAACTATTTGGTTATTTGTATTATCTAGAATGGCTAGCATAAGATTTTATTTTGTTGCTCGCACAGACATAATGTTTGAAAGATATTTTGTTTGGTTAATTTGTGGTGTAGATCAATTTAATTGTGGTTACCAGCTGGGTGAGATTAAAATTTCAGCTTTCACCGAACGGTCGATTTGCACATTTATCACATACATGGAATAATTTCCCTACATAAATTTTGTACAGATATTTTTTACCGCAAAGTAGCGAGAAAAAAATAAAACACATAAAGGAGAGAATCAGTTATGGTCGACGAGCATTGCCACCACTAACGCCGTCGGGACGGCCAAATCCGGCGACTACGAGCTGAAGGATGCCGGTTCTGACAGCAGCGAGCTTGTGGACACCGGATCCGGTGATTCGGCGGCTGAAAAAGCAGATAGTGGTGGAGTTTGATGGGAGAAGAAGGACGGCAATGGCATCGATGGTGAAAAATCAAAGCATAAGCATAGTGGAGGAGCGAAGGTAGCTGCATATATTACAAAAACAATTTTCTCACACAAGCCCTCTTCTAACCTATAGGCAGGCCGATAGGCCATAACATCGTACACCTACGATAATGTTGGACAGGGAGGGGGACAAGACCCGTATATAAAAAGGAGGGCTGCTAGAGAGCGGGATACCGTCCGAACAGGATACTTTATGGAGGCTAACGTCATCTCACGTATCTGCTTCCTCCACGTAAGTCTAGCATCATCCCAACCTCACTCCACAAGCTCACATTCCCCATGCCTTAAGCTAGCGCCCCGTGTCGGCGTAGGCAACGATGTTTGTCGCGGCAGCAGTAGAAAGGTATGAAGGCTAAGTCGAGAGGAAGGGATAAGAGGAGAGGAAGCGTTGGTGCTTGATACTTGATACCTTGCATGTACCAGCCCTGGTACATAGGGTACCAACTCTGATACATGTGGGTATCAGTCATCATACCACAGGTACTAGCCCAAATACCTACGGGTACCGGGTCTAATACCTGAGTATCAGCTGTGATACCACAAGTGCCAAGCATGGTACGTACA